GATTTCTTCTCATCTGATCTCTCAGATGAAACAAAGAAAGTCTCAAGTAGATTTTACACTTAAACTTTTTTTCCTGTACTAATGCTTTCTCCTGTTATCTTGGATAATTAAGAGTTGACTATATATTTATCTTCATTTTATGTGGGATTAACTTAAATCAGATATACTTTTTTTTTTTTGCTTTTGTGGCATAGGACTAGTAATTCCAAAAAGAGTGGTTTGTATTATCCTGTTCCTTTGAATCTGTTAGATTAGAACCATAAAGAAAACAACATTTTAAGAGATTTTTGGAGCAGTGTCTATCAAGTTGACACTTTTATCTATATTAATTTAATGACAAGGTCACTGGAAATAAGCACAGTGACATATAAATGTTTCATAATATGGGTCAGAACAGTGAATATTTGTACTTTACTCAGTAGCTAAAGCTATCATTGTTCTTTTTTCACCAATAAAGGTTTTCAGTGAATTTAACTTACTTCTGAAAATCAGCCCAAAAGCATTTGTCTTTGGAGTGCAAGAATGAGAGCTTAAATTAGATTTGTGTGAAATACTTTTCTGTGTTTTGGAGAAACATAAAAGTAATTCCATCCCAAGAGCTCTATGTGCTTGTATGATAGCAAAGTGCTTTGAGATTTAGAATGTTAAACCTGATATTGTTCATTTAGAATTAATTTTATAAGCAGTCACAATGAATAAATTTTTCCTTGCTGTAAATTCTGCTTCTTAGGTTGTCTGTGTTGGGATAAAAATGTGTAATTATTTGATCCTCTTTTAGCCCCCTGATACAAGTCTTCATCTTGGGGTAGGGATGGCTCTGTGTCATTGACAGTTATGTAAGAAGAGCATAAACCCTGAAGTTTTACCAAGGTGGAAAAGCTTTAAGTGGAAGGGTCCAATGACAGATTAGATTGGGTGTGGCTGCTGTTCCAAAAGGCTCCTCACCAAATGGCTAGCCACTGCCACCAGGGGATTGAAACCCACAAAGGCATTTATATTTACTAAGATGTAAAGGTACTGTGATCTGCTTGTATTGAAGTGCCCATGCCAATGAAATCACGAGCTGTTGAAGTAAAATTTTGTGGCATACTTTTTTTGGAACAGAGGTCTAGACTGATAATTTCTTTAGGATAGGGAGAACCTAATGAGAAAATCCCTACCAGTGCATATTGGCAACTGTTCTGCAAGTTATGGTCTTAGCCAATTGCCTGAAGCACTAACCCTGCATCACCAGCTGCCTTGCACATATTTTAAACAGTATGTCTTGGAGGCATCTCAGATTCAGCATGCCTCAAACAGGATGGATTCTTTATATTTCCCCCAACTCCACCCCTTTTCCAAAATTTTGTCTTTTTGTTAAAGGGATTATCTTTCAGTCTACCAAGCTTGTCATCTTGGTGCTATATCCTTCAGTCCTCACATATCCAGACATCGTCAGATCTTGCTGTTTCTACGTCTACAACACCTCTCATCTGACCTCTTTCTACTAACACACAGTTACCATCCTAGTCCAGGCCTTACCACCTCTCAGCTGAACCCGTGCAATGGCCTTGGAATTGGCCTCAGGTTTCTTTCCACTTTAGTCCATCCTCTACAGTGTTGCTTGTGAAGTGGAGATCTGACCATGGCACTCTTTTTTTTCAGTAAACTCTAGTAGCTCCCCTATTGCCTCTAGAAATAAACATAAACTCTGTTTAGCTTTTAAATAAAGCTCTTCCCAACCTTTCTGCGCCCAATTATCCAGCCTCATTGTACTCCCCTGCCTGCTGGTAAGCCAAACGGGCCTTCTCTCTGTTCCTCACACAGCTCTCCAGCCCCCTCCCAGTGCTTTGTACTGGCTGTCCCCAGCTTGGGATGCTTGGGCTGCATTCCCTGTGTACCTCCACCTCTTATGGTCTCTCTGTTCCTTCCAGAGACAGCTCAGACACCTTCTACAGGAACTCCTTCCTGGTCTCCTCAGTTATAGTTGCCCTCCCCCTAAAACTGCTTTGTAGTTTTTCTCTTTAAATTTTTTCTCCTTATGCTTATATATGTCCTTGTCTTTTCCATTAGGATTTAAGCTCCTGAATAGGCATTGTTTCATTTGTTGTATCTATGTCCGCAAGCACTTGGCACAATGTGTGACACATAGTAGGTATTTAATAAACACTTGTCATTGGTTTTCCCTAAACCCTACCCCCTTTCTGAACTTTTGTTAATGTTAAGGGCACGGCCATCCCCCTAGTCACATAAGTGTCATCCTTGAATCTTCACTGTTACCCACATGTCCAGTCAGTTACCAGATCCTGTCTCCTTCTTTGTATCTTTGTATCTCCCAGATAGTTCCCCTTTTCTCCCCTCACACAGCTGCTGCACAAGCTTGGAACCTGCATTTCAAGAGCTCTGTGACTGATCACCCTGCCTCCCCGCTCCCCATTCTAGTCTATCCTGCACAAAGTTGCCAGAATGATTTGACTAAAAGTACAGATCTAACTATGTCACACACGTACCCCCTGCCCCCTCAGTAAATTCCAGTGGCCTCTTGTTCCATATACATACATACAAACCCCTCTGTTTGACATTTAAAGTTCTTCACAACCTCACTGCTTTCTCTCTTTCCAAGCTTTTTGTACCCGTTATTTTCCTCAGGTCAGTTAGTAAGTATTAAGCACCACAGTGTGCCAGTAACTGTGCCAAGTATTGAGGATACAAAGAAAGATAAAGATGGTGCCTGCTCCCAAGGAGCTCCCAGTCTAATAGGGAAGAAGATGTGCAAACAGCGATGGACGAGCAAGCTATAGAAAGAATAAATGGAAGTCATCTCAGAGGGAATGTTCTGGGTTTGAGGGGGATCGAGAACAGCTTCCTGTAGAAGGTGGGATTTTAGCTGGGACTTGAGGAAATCAGGGAAGCCAGGAGGTGGGGATGAGGAAGAAAAGACTTCCGGGCATGGGGGACAACCGGAAAAATACCCCACGTTAGGAGATGGAGCATCTTTTGTGAAGAGCAGCAGAAGGCGAAGGTCACTGGGTCACAGGGTGTGTGAGAGTGAGTAGTATCTAAGAAGACTGGAGGGGTAGGAGGGGGCTCTGAACATCCAGCAGGCTTCTGTATTTGATCCTGGCAGCAATGGAAGGCCACTCACTCCTGTGTTCCATCTGTACTCCCCTGCTTTCTGCTCCTCACATGCAATGCTCCATTTCCTCCTGTGCCTTTGAACTGCTTGCCATCTATGTTTGCAGTGTTCTCCCTGTTCATCTCCACCTCTTAGAATATCTGTTTTCCTTCAAGATTAAGCTAAACTTTCTGCCCGAGGCCTTTCCTGGTCCCCCAGTACTGCTGCCTTCCCCTCTTAACACCACCTTCCATCAGCTCTGTGTGTAACACATAGATGTCTTTTTATGTACACTTTGTCCCTTCATTGGGATATAAATCCCTTGAGGACAGGGACAATTTTTGCCATAAAGAAATTTTTTTTATATCCCTTGAGTTTAGCACAGTATTTGGTACATTTTTTGTTCAGTTGTTCTGCCATGTCCAACTCTTTGTGATCCTGTGAACCGTACTATCCATGTGATTTTCTTGGCAAAGATATCAAAATGGTTTGCCATTTCCTTCTTTAGTGGATTAAGGCAAACAGAAGGTAAGTGACTTGCCCAGGGTCACACACCTAAGAAGTGTCTGAGGCCTGATTTGAACTCAGGTCTTCCTGACTCCAGGCCCTATGCTCTAGACCCACTGAACCACCCAGCTGTCTCCTCTCTGGCATATAGTAAACATTAATAAGTGCTAGTTAATTGATTGATTGAGAGGTTCAATGGCTTCCTTGGGGCTACGTAGCCAATATATGTCAGTCAGGACTTGAACCCAGGTTTAAGTGACTCTAAGGCCAGCTCTCTAGCAACTTCACCATGCTACTTTTCCTTATGTGTCTGTCATTCATGTAAACTGAAATGTGTTTTTCTGTCCAAAGAAAAAATATTTCAGTTGCTTTATCCTAACTGCTCTCTATGATAAAACTCAGAATTTTACTTTTGAAAGTAAACTTTCTCAGTCTCTCCAGCTAGACTTGAATGTGTGTCAAAGACAAGTGGACAGTATATGCTGATTGATTGAAGTCCTTTTTGTGTTCTAAGACCATTCCAACTCAGTCAACATGACATAGCTGTGACTTGTGACAGTAATTTACATAACAGGAGAAATTTTTTTAAAAATTTATAAATTAATTTCAGTTTTTAAAAAGAGGGAAAATACCCTCTAAATTGTGGAAACATCTGTGGTTTGTAAGTGAATGCTTAGTATTTTTAACACATATATGTAATGTAATATAATATATAATTCACCGCACTAGTATCTCATTCTGAATAATAGATGTATAAACCATGTACAATCTTGCATGTGGAAGTGATAGAAGTGTAGGAAGACAGCAAAAGGGAACATGTAGAAAATGTAATCCTGGGGCTTAGAGCTCCACCAGGATGCAAATGACTTTGCAGTATATTCAGTTCTAATTTATTCTGAAGGCAGATTTTCCTGTTTGCAAACATACCTTTTCATGTGGTTGAAAATGCTACCAACCCCTCCTGCCCAACCTTGTGTCACTTTCCCTGTTTTACCTTTATCCATGTCTTGTCTGTTGATTACCACAGATGCTAGAACATTAGACTCACCCAGCTGCGATTCCCAAAAGTAGGACCCTTTTTTTTTTAGCCATCACTGGCTTGAGTTTATATTTTGGGAAGTGATGGTGGTATAAAAAGAAGATATCAATTAAAAAGTTTAAAAAACTTTATTTGGTTTTATAGATTAGAATATTAATATGTGCAAAGGTTTTGTGGTTCTGCTCCTGTGTGTTCCTAAAGATTTATTCTACAAATCAAAACAGATTCCATACCTTTTGTTTCCTGTTAATATTGTCGTCATAGGAAATAGAATTTTATTTCATAGTCATTTATACTATGTTATGCTTAAACTATATTAAGATAATCTGTTCTAATTTAATATCTGTTTCTTTCCTTTAGTTGATGACAGTGCGATTTTGGATTGTCAGTTCAGTGACTTTTATCATATTCCTCCAACTGGTTTTGAAAAAATATTATTTGAACAGCAAATCTTCTGAATATACTTCATTGAAACTTCTACCCCTACGATATCCCCCCCAAAAAAATTTACTGCCACCTTAATAAAGCCTCACTTGATCCCACAGGAAGTACATTCTCTGTTTTTAATAAACCTTTGTGAAGTTATCTAAGGAACCAACAGGTTAAATACAACAGCAGAATTGCCATTTAAAATACTAGTTGTGTTTTGGGATGTGCAAATCTGCATTCTGGACATTTTGATTCTTATATGCACAAATGGAAATTCACAGACAGTATTAAATGAAAATTTGGATGCTTTTGACATTTGGAAAGGAAATGTATTTCTTACATGAGACACTTTGCTTAAGTCATAGGGGTAAAGTCAGTTGTGATTTTATTCATTCTGAAGGTCGTACCTTGTTAAAAGAGAAGTATTATCTTGTCTGCAGCCCTCTTACTTTCTTTTATAGTATCCTTTTTGTGTACAGAATGAAGAGTGACAAATATGTAAAATTAACTGCTAGTTTTTTTCCAGCATGATCTATTCCGTATAAAAGTTGCTCTTTTTCATAAATGTTAGATTTCTGTTTAATTTGTACATTTCACTGCTTTGTATTTGCTTTATGTAAGAAATAACAGAATTATATATTTTTAATGATTGTCAAACATTATTATGTTGAATGTGAAAAAGCAAAACCGAACACAAGAAATATTTATGAAGACCACCATGCTGTATTATTTTACTCTCAGAGTGATTATGGATTGATCAGTGATGTAGTGTACACTGGCAAAACACAGTGGAAAATTATAATGAAGCTTTACACTTGAATTGTAAATCATAGTATCCTTTTCTGGAATATTTTATTTACATGTCTTGTTTTTCTGCAGTGAACAATAAAATGAATAATGGTTAAGGTGAAATTCAGTATCACAATTCACTACTGAAAACACATTCTTTTTAATTTGTGAGATATATATATGATGAGTCCAGTTTTCCTTTGTATACTAGGAGACATTATCTCAAAGTTTGGTATAGTTTGATATAGTGGAAAGAGCACTGAATAAAGTCAAAGGACCTACATTCAAATCCTGCCTCTGCTTCTGATTAGCTGGATGGTTTTGATGAAGTCATTTAATTTCTCTGGCCTACAGAGTCCTCATCTATAGCGTGAAGAGTGAATTTTTTTCAAAAGGCTGCTTTTTTATAACTGAGAGTAGCATTATAAAGACAGGAACATGTAGATAGACACAAAATGGCCCTGTACAAACCTGGTGTCCATGCTTGGCCAAGTCATCACTTGCCTCAGCTCTAATCCTATATGTTTACAAAACAGAGAAGTGAGTCCTTCCTGATGCCATCTAGATTTTGTTCTTTGCTCTCTAAGGCAAAATCACTGTAGTTTACCAAACTAAATGCAGAGTAGGTTAAAAAAAATAGAGGTCACCTCCTTCAGTCCCCTCCCTTTCACAGATGAAGATATTGAGATCCAGAGTGGTAGAAGTAGTTTGCGCTGGCCTAGAAGAGCTGAGGCAGGGCTAATGGTAGAACCCAGGTCTTTGGAATCCTAGAGCGTCAGCACTCTCTTCTCTGCATAGTACTGACTGTCCTAGGGACTGGGGAACTTTGGGGACTCTTAAAGTACCTGTGCCACTACCCACTTCTGCTCTGACGAAGGAAGCAGAGAGGAGAGTTCTGTACGTACACACACATACACCACTTAATATAACCTAATGAAGCATTCCTGAAGGTTTGTGATAAACTGATCCATTTGATGGGAAAACCTGGCAGAATGGTTGTCAGGCACCGATACTGAAGTGTTAATCATTTTCTTCAATATGCTCTTAGAAGGTTTATGAAGGAGTCAAACTGAACTCAGTTCACATTATATTAGTTTGTGACTTTGTATTAATATGTAAAGGGCATATTCACTTTTTAAAATTTTATTTTTAGTCTATACTGGTTACATCAATTTACTTTTCAATGTATTCCTCCCCTCTTTTTTATCCAGTGCAACTATGCCTTGTAACAAAAATTTAAAAAGCAACTCAGCAAAACTAAGAAACATATCAGCTGTATCTGACAATTTTTGCCATCCGTAATCCCCTGCCTCTGCAGCAAGGGGAGGAGGAAGGTAGAACACATTTGAAAGGAGTCTTAGTGCTTTATCACTAGAAAGCCCGTTTGCAGTCACGTCACTTGAGCCTTCCAGCAGACAGCCTTGTGGAGTAGGTCATGCTCAAGTAGGTGTGGCTTCTTAAAGAGGCCCCCAGAGGTGATGACTTGGCCAAGCATGGGCACCAGGTTCGTACGGCGCCATTTTGTGTCTGTCTACATGTTCCTGTCTTTATAATGCTACTCTCAGTTATAAAAAAGCAGCCTTTTGAAAAAAATTCACTCCTTCAAAACTCTCTTCCACCAAACATGCAGTACTAAAAATGACACTTTGTCTCAGAGTTTTCTCAACTTCTAGGTTCCCATTCTTTCTCTGGGAACACTTTTGAGAGAACTTAAAAATGAAGCACACCCTTAGATGAACAGAGAAATTAGTCTGACATAAGCACCTAACTTGAATGTTTAGTGGTAATAGGAGATATAAGTGCACATTCATTTTAGGAAATTAAAGTTCCAAGTTAGTTCTAGCTGGACGGGTGTCACGTTCAACATATTTTAGTTGCTTGTTCCTCTGTCTTGATATATTGTGTAAAGAATAATTCATAAAAATCCATTTACCAGGTTAATGTGGCTTTCTATACCAGCTCTGAAATTAAACAGTCGTGTAGCATTTTAGAGCAAACAGGACCTTGGGAGGCCAGCTGATAGGATAACATTACTCGGACTCAGAGAGCTTAAGTTTCGATTTTGACTGTGCTCTTTAATAGTACCGTTTATAATAGTGTTTAAGATGTGCAAAGTAGCTTTCAAGTTATTGAGACTTAGAGTAACCCTGTGAGAGAGGTGCTGTTATCCCTACTTTACATGTAGGCAAACTGAGGCAGACAGTGACTGGCAGAAGGTGAAACGGTTTGATAAGTATCTGAGGCTGGATTTTGAACTCCAGTCCGATTCCAGGTCCTGTGAGTGCTTTATGCATTGCTCCCTAGCCACTCATTCTGTCTGTATCCACACAACCCACTACTTTTTTTTTTTTTTTGCACATGGAGACTACCATTCAGATACAACAATAGGACAAAACTATACAGTTTTGATCTGGACTATCTGACAGGTTCTTATCTCATTGCTCCCTGGAGAACAGAATGTGTGGAATAACACTAGGTCCAGAACCACACCCAGTCTCAAGGTTTGAGGCACCCTCTTATTCCATGCTCTTATAGATCAAGTTTCAAGCCCCCTACTCCAAAGATCCTTCTTTTCCTGGCTTCCAACTCCCAATTATTCATCCTCCCTCTCAGATCCAGAGTCATTTCTGGAACTCCACACCCAAGCTCACCCTCACACACTCAGATCTGATTCATAGTCATGCAATGGAATCCCTCCCTCTGTGACTCAATCTGTCAGTTCAGTCACTGCCCAAAATGGTAATTATCTGAGTTTGTCTCAACTCTGACTGTGTGACTGTGGCAATTAAGAGATCGTTGGGAACTTTGGAGGCAGCAGTTTCAGGTGAGTGATGTCATAGGGAATCTCCTCTTCCATTTTAACTTTGGGTGGAACATCCCTCCCCCCCCAAACCTTTGGCAAACCCTTTTGTTGAGCATATACTTCCCTCCTTAGACATAAATTACACCTGATGGTGCTTAAGAGGATTGTTGAATAATGTTCTGTCAGTGGTTGCATCTCTCAAGCATGACCATAACATACAAACAGAAGACATGTTGGAGGAAAGTCTGATTGGTGGAATAGCAATGGGAGATCTGGCCCCTCATATTTATAATTGAGCATATTAAGAATAGAATGGAATATATGGAGAACAGAGCATGGATGGGATAGATAATGTTTTCATCCATTTGGAGAGTTAGCATTGTGGTCAGTGATTGAGCATTATGTGGCAAGGATGAGTCATGAGTTGATGAGATAATGGATGAGGGATAATATAGCATGGTTGTCACTCAGTGGGAGTGATTTGGGGGCATATCCAGATAGGGATGCCCAGCAATTTTGGAGTGGATATGGGTTCATATTCCTGAAGGATTGAACCTAGAATGAACCTTGTTTTGTGACATTGTGGATGACATGTGGACATCATGTTGGATGTTGGATGTTCTTCTAGGGCTTTGAGCCTTCAATTTAGGTTTCACTGCCCTCCCATTCCCAATATCATCTTTTGGGGAGCAATGAATAGACCTGAAATTTGCCATGCCTGAGTGATATGGTTGAGCCCCCAGTAGTCTCCACATCTGGAGAAAACATCTGGACCTTGGAAAGTGAACGGGTGAGAGAGAAGTGAGTGGGTCTGTTACACAGATTCACTTGAGAATCTTGATGAGTGAATTTAGATCAGTTAGAAAGACAGTAAGGTTTTGCCTGAAGAAATTTAGTGGCCTATCAAAGTCTCAATCTTATGTATTATATGTTTTATGATTCTTTGGTGAATATGGGAGTTGGGGAAGAGAGATCAAATATATATGTATAGTGTTTTTCTCTGAGGCTTTATGAATAGCCAAAGAGTAGGGCAGCAAATTAAAGCAGGTTTACAGTCTGTTCTAATACAATTAAAATCCCATATAATAATAAATTTCATTAGAAGATTTATGGTTGACTTTTTACTCAATTCAGTGTTGGAAATTTGTTTTATTTAAGAGTTTAATTCTAAAGGCTATTTTTTCTTCAACTACAGAATTGCATTTTGAAAACTAATGGTGCAGAAATCTTTATGCCACTGAATTATTTGAAATATGATAGGATTTAAAGCCCACAGGACAGAACTCTATTCAGGCACAATTGCCTGGAGATTTCATATAAAAATTCAGCTTCTGTACTAGGTAATTACTTCATTTCTCTGCTTCTTCTCTACTGTTTAAATGCAACAGTGGGATCCAAACAAAAAGAGTTAGTGTCCTGGGGTAAAAATAGGATTAATGTTGCTAGTTCAAATAAATGGAGTAACTCCATCTTT